ATAACTTTAGGCTGTTTCTGATACCCGGAGAAGAACAGAATGAGAGATCTTATAAATCAGACCAGGATTTGGATATTTGCGGGATCCGTATCAGCCATAAATGGCCTGGTTTGCTTTGGTCTCAGCTCCACCTACAAAATGTTATTTGGAAAGTGGGGCGTTGGCGGTCTCCTTTTTTACATATTGATCAGTTCAATTATGTTTTACCTCATCTGGCGAGTCAAGAGAATTCCAGTTCCAGAGAGATACGAAGGTCTTGTGAAAGCTCTAATTTTTGTTGTGATATGTTTGATCACCGTGCTGCTTGACAGCAAACTCGTGCCTGGAAAACCAGATGCATGGAGACTTATCTCGTATGCTTCATTTGCCTTGATGTCGCTGTCCACATCAAAGAAGTCTGAGCTAGGATTCGAAACTGGGTTCTTCAGTTTTTTTCTGTCATTGTTCTTCGAACAACTTTGCAAAACCAACTTGAAACTCTCACCGATTGCAGTAGTTTTCTGCTTGCTGGTCCTTATTTTTCGCCACTACTCAGCATCCGGAGTACAGTCTGGCTCCATCGCTCGAAACGGCTATCATCACGTTGAAGTTGGTCCTCCAGATGCAGATGTAACAAACAGTGGCGATGATGATGAGGTCTTAATTGAGTTTCGCAGCAAAACATTATTCAAGCAATTACTGAACCTGACGCCAAACATTAATTGTTACTACTCGAACTAACAGGTGCTTTATGCTTGTGGATTTTCTTTGTTTGCAGAGGCACGCTTCCCCACCGATGGTAGATGTTCCAGAGCAAAGCCCGTTACCTGCCGACAATCAGCAAGATAACCAAGAGGAGCCTTCTCAAGCTGTAAGTGACCAAAGCGGAATATAAGTATTCAGTTTGCTTGTATACTTCTCTAGTCTCTCATGTAACACACACTCATACATGTTTCAGTCGCGTGCTAATGGTTTCCGTCTTTCCCTGCAGGAATCCCGGGACCAAGATCATGTTCCATTAGGAAACAACCACGTCACAATCCAAATCGGGGAGACGCACCCGGTGCCTGAATTAAGGTACTCCTCTTAAAGCCCCCCATATCCTACCCTGTCTATGCTCAACATTAGTGTCATGGCAATTCTAATTGATCGTAATAGAATTTGTACGGATCATCAAAGAAAGCCAAAGGAAACCCTAAATCACTACAAGCTGGCTGTTACTCAACAGAAACTCTGATCAGATAGATGCAGTGCTCAAGAGAGACCCTATAGCTATTTCTTACCACAAGATTGTTTTGGATTGAAAGAAAATAATACGGGGAGTGAATTGATGGTGTTATTAATTATTAATAATATAAAAGAAGAAGAGTTTTTTAGAGCTATCTCTTCTGTTCTGTACTGTGATTTCATTGAACTGAGGATATGTTTTACAAGAATTTATACATTATATTGATGACTTGTTATTAGGAGGAGTAGTTTGAGTAAAAGAAAAGTAAAGTAACTGGAATGAGCATGGTATTGTTTGTTGTGCAGGCGGAGAAGGAGGAGGTGGATGCCCCCTGGAATTCCAAACATATCAAGCCGCGTTGGACATACGCTTGGCCAGTTGCAGCGCCATTCGGCTCCCCGCCTCTTCTTTTTTTTTTTCCTGTGACCACTGCTTCTATATATAGAGTAATCTCATATAACCCGGGGACCCACTTCGATGTTGACACTGGACACTTTTTAAGAGCTGGCATGTAACCCGAACAAAATGAGTCATGTGATGCACATCACGTGCTTTTCTCTACCAGCCGCCTCCCAACTGCACATGCATTGTATGCATATTACTCCTATTATTATTAATGTTAATAATATTCAGAATAATTGTTGTTGCCAGGAAAAATAAATAAATATTCCAAGCCATAGAATGGCAATATCCATTTTTATGCATTGACAACGGTATTTTCCAATAATAATTTGATGATTAAGTTTTGGTAAATGATTTTCTGACTAAAGCATGCAGCGCAAATATTAACGGCTTATAATATACTGAGTTCTTGTAATAATTTTGTTTATATGTCGCAATTTTATGATAAGATCTTCTCCGACAATGGTGCGGCGAAGGGCAAATAATCTTAAATAATTATTTCTCATCAAGTTATTTTAGAACAAAAAATTCTCTCATTCAACTTTTGTAATGATCATCAGATTTTAATCCTCTTTTTTTTTTTTATTCCCATTGAACGTGATATTTTAACATATGTAATATTCTGATATCTTTTTTTATTCAATTAGAACAATTTATGCTTCAAGTTTCAATATCTTTAAAACGTATGAATAAAATACTATATAATCGTTTTGTATTTTTACTTCACTTAAATACAAATATTAAACAAAATGTAAGTCAAAACAGTTCATTCTTTGTACCCAAACATGAACATCCAATGATACAGACCCAAGCAAAGAGTTCGTTCATTCTTGATTATTTTGGATGTCATGACTAAGCTTTTGACGAAGACAACTTATGTACTGCACAGAATTTTTTAAGGTATTTAGAAGAAAGCTAAACCATAATTTTATAAGTGATTTTAAAAGGTATATAGTAAGTAAGTATGTGAAAAAAAAATTTCCTTCGACTTGCTTAAAATAACTTTTTAAAAATTTTTTAGGGTGATCCAAACACTTTTTTTTTTTATATAAGATGAAGTAAGATTTACACTCAAATTAAAATAGTGGCATGAATCCTCTGGATTAAATCTTCACTAGAATAAAATAATGAATCTTCAAAATGAAAGCTTTCCACTGGACGTACTCCACCTATAGCTCGGACCCTCATCTTCAAATGAAGAACCAGAAGCATACTCCAACTTCGAAATTTTGCAAGCAGGGCAGGCTGATCAACGTTCCTCTGCTATCCAGTTGCGACAAGCTTCTTCATATAGCTGCTTATACAAATTTACAATTACAAAAGTCGATGAACCAAATAAATCACTATTTATGCCTTAACTTTCAGACTACATCATAAATTCATTTGCGGGACTACATAACGAGAACACACTCAAATTCTAAAGAAAGAAAGGGTTCAAAACAGACTGTGCTAATTGCATTGACACCGGGGAATATTTATTTGGTTAATTAACAGAAGTAGGATTTCTTCTGTGCATAATTTCATTATACTCCTTCTGGTTCAAAATATAAGATACGGTTTATTATTCATGTTTATCAAGAAGTTAGTTAAAATTAATTTAAAACAATAAATCTGTAAGACATTTTTTTCTAAATATGCTCTTATTAATAAAAAATGAGTAAAAGATGCAATAAATAAATCAAATACAAAAAAATATATGTTAGGGGTAAAATTTAAAAAAAAAAAAAAGTAAATGCCTAGAAAAAAAATGAATATTATTTCGTAAGAACACTAAGTCCCTCTAACAAAATTTATCTTACGCTACTATTTTGAACTGGATGGAGGATTTACTAAAACAAACTCTTCTACATGATATCGTCTTGCAGTTGAGATTGAACATAGACGGCAGATCTGAGGGAAAACGTTTGGAGGAGACGAAGCCAAAGATTCCTACTCTGTGGCATCGTTTGGAATGTTTTCAGAGAAAGTCCAATGTTGTCTCACGGTCAATCTACTAATGCAAGATAAGTGGTGAACCAACGAGTGAAACGCATCGTTTCGTTACGATTCTGACAAGTTAATTCAGAGATTATTATTGGGAAAATTTTATTTTAATTCACAAACATAAACACTTGTATTTGAGGTTGAGAATTCTCTTATAAGTTTTGTAATATTTATATTTCTTATAAATAGCTGAATTTGAGTTGCAAATCGCTAAATTTCACTTATTCATTCACACTTAAACATTTATATTTGGGGTTGTGAATTTTCTTATGTTTCTTATGAATCGCCCAATCTAAGTTGTAAATTACTAAATTTTCGTTATAAATCTTCGAATTTCATTTACTCAATTCTCTCCGAACGACCCTATCAGACTCAATGTCGGCGGGAAGCTCTTCAAGATGACGTTTTTTTTTTCTTTTTTCCTTTTTTTTTTTGTTGGGGGGAGTGCATTGGTTCTCTTTCTTCAGGATCGGCACACATAAGCCCCTACCTGTAATTATATTTATTACTCGTGCTATCTAATCTATTATTACAAGCCAACGAACAAGACAATGTGAAGAAATTAGTGGATTGTCTTGTTGTGGCCTTTGAGAGGGGTAGTTGAGCCCTTTTGGTTTGGCTTGGTTTGTTTTGTTTTACCTTTCAATTGCAAGTATGCTGATGATATCTCAGAATAATAAATATAATAGTGATTTTACATATTTTATTTACAAAGCAAGGAGCCAAAGACCAAGTCAAGGTTGTACTTTTGGGCTTCTACCACCAGAGTCAACAAATCGACACCTTTACCAATTACCATTCCTTACTTGGTATCTCTCCCCGTCAATTCCGAGGCCCTTATGCCGAGTTACGCTCCTCTTGTTGTCAAGACGATTCTCTGGGAGTGGGTAGCGTGGCGTGGGAGGGGGCGTCTGATTAAGGTTAGTAGTAGGTCTCTTTGATGATTTATTTGTTTGGTCTCTAACAAAAATCTTAGTACAATCTCTGCTATACTAAGATTTCGAAATTCCTGACAAATTAAACACTTCTGATCTCTTCCCCATTTTTTGAGTCTCTGTTGGGCTTTTGTGGTGGCTACACAAGTGTTTAAACGCGAGTGATTAATTTGCTTTAACTTTGAAGCAGATCTTTTTAGTTTATTTTGTTTGAATTCAATCCTTCGATTTATTATAGGCATCAATCCTCGGGTTAAAAACCATTTTCATATTATTAATTTTAATTTATAGAATTTCATTCACTTTATGAAATTTTTATCATCTTATTTAGCACCGTTGTAGTATTGGTTTATTTCTATAACTGAAATTTCATCAAATTTATATATTAAAATTAAGAAATCAAATAATGAGGGTCTCCTTTTTTTGTTAAATAAATTATGAACAGGATGAGAGATCTTGTATGCCATCGAGCCATGATTTGGAAATTTGCGGGAAGTGTGTCAGGCATAGCTGGCCTGGTTTGCTTTGGTTTCAGCCCCACCTACAAAATCTCATTTGGAGAGCTTGGTATTGGCGGTCTCCTTTATCTATTCGTCGGTGTAATCATATGGAGCCTCATCTCGTGGGGCAAGAGAATTCGAGTTTCAGAGAAATTCCAAGGCCCTCTGGCAGCTCTAATGTTTGATGTGATCTGTTTGATCTCCGTGGCGAATGAAAAACTTGTGCCTGCAAAATCAGACGCATGGAGCATTATCTCGTATGGTTCATTTGCCTTGATGTCGCTGTCCATGTCAAGGAACTTTGAGCTCGGATTCGAAACTGGCTTCTCCACCTTTTTCCTGACATTGTTTGCCACACAACTGTTCAAAATCAAGTGGATCCTCTTACCCATTGCATTAGTTTTCTGCTCCCTCATCATTATTCTTCGCCACTACTCAGAATCCGGAGTACAGGAGGTTGGTCCCATCAGTCCAAGTGACCATCTTCACGTTGATGTTGGTCCTTCACACGGCAATGAGGTCTTAACAGAGTTTTGCAGCAAAATATTCAAGCAATTGAACCTGTTACTTGAACTAACGTGTTACATCCTTGTGTATTTTCATTTTTGCAGTGGCAAGATTCCTCAGGGGTGGGAGAAGTTTTAGGGCAAAGCCAATTATCACGGCGGGGAGGGGCAAGCACAAAAGCAACTTCTCTTCTTTACCTCTCTCTGAATACACACCAATTACTTTATAATCACAAAGAATTTGGATTGCTGTGGAGTTTAACTAATAATTTCTTTATTAATATATATATATTTTTGGGGTCTAGCTTCTAACTGAATTTTCACCCAGGTTGGCTGTATGAGAATGAGAAGGCGCAAAGACTAGCCGGCGACAGTGGCTTGAAGCTGTAAGGCCTTGAAGCCTTCTTTGTTCTTATCCATTATTGCAATAAATTAGCCAAGAAGAGTACCCTCTTATGATCTTGAAGCTTTTGAACAACAGATTTGATCCATATTAAGTGTTGACAATGTTACTTTCTTTTTGTTTCTTGCACAGGTTGACCCACGTCATCGATGTGGTCACAAATATATTGGTTTAATATAATGTCTGGCATAGAAGCCAAAGCAGCCAACCATTTTTCTACTGGTAAACACTCGTTTTGAAACTTAATCTCTTCACTGTAATTACCATGAAACATGGTAGATGAGGAACTATTAAGGATTTGGATGGCTAACTTCCTGCTTCTATTACATTTAGGTTGGATGTAGGAGAAGGCAAAGAAGTGAATCTGAGAGATGTCCAAGGAGCAAACTTCAACACCAATGCGTTAAATATCTTGGACCGGTAAGTTCTCACTAATATATGTATGTTTAACATCCATTTTAATTAGATATAGATTCACATCCAACAGACTTAGCTATGAAGATTCGCTTTTTATTTGGCCTGAGTCTATCTGAAAACTGCTGTTGCTATGGCTCATTTAGCTGACTGATGGTGCTACCAATGCAGAAAGAAAGGGAAGAATATGAAGTTATTGTTGAAGGGGGCAAGCTGGTGTATAGACAAAATGGGAAGGTTCTCGATACTAGAGATAGGTCCAGATGGATATTTGTTCTGAGCTCCACAAGGTCTTTGTATGTGGGGCGAAGGCAGATGGGTTTGTTTCATCACTCCAGCTTCCTGGCTGGAGCTGTGCCCGCGGCAGCAGGAAGATTAGTGGCTCATGAGGGTGTTCTTAAGGTACTAATAATATATATCACACCGCATAATCGCTTTCATTCTATTACTTTTTCTAACTTTCTGGTACTTCCACTTGTAAGTGTTGTTGCATTAAAAACATTTCAGGCTATTTGGCTTGATAGTGCATACTACCTCCCTACCGTAGAGAGCTTCAGAGAAGTCATTAGCTTTCGTGAGGAGCACAATTTAGACCTCTCCGCTGTCAAAAAACTTAAGAATTTATAATATAGTAATTCATTGGATTACTAGTTATCATATTAACTTAATACGCATTATGTGATATCTGACATGAATTAAAAAAATTAATAATGATTTATATGCTGCCTTGTAAACATTGTATACATTGAATTTTATATTTAAAATTTTCTGAAATTTAGTATATATTTCATTGATCAGATTTATTATAATATTTAATTACAGTACTTATTTGTAAATGAGCTCTTTGTTTGATAACGTCTCTAGTTTTTAACTCAATCCATTTAGTATATTGATTCCAAGAAATATTGTACACATTTGAATTATTGATTAGTTTTTGATTTTACTGAAAAAGGTATAAAGGTCATTCACATTATACCATCATGACTCTCCCAATCCTCCTCAAATTTCAGTTATTTATGTCTTTATTTGGCAATCCCGCATTATTTACCAATGAATATAACACTTATTTTGAAGCAAAGTGGTTCATAAAATGAAGCATTTATCAATCCTCAACAATTAATTTCTTTCGTTGAATAACCTTAAATTAATTTTAAAACGCTAACTACGCAAACAAATAAGATATTTGATCAAACTTAATAAGAAGTGAGTATGCAACAAGAACTACAATGTATACGAAGGAGATCAAAATGTGGTATTGGGAGTCATTATTTGTAAGTAGATCAATTTTTATTTTTTTTCATGTCAATTTAATAATTACTTGTTATTAAATTTTTAAAACCTAAACATTACTTATTTTCATTAATAACTTTTTAATTAATAGAGTATTAATCATTACCATTATTATTATATAATAAGTAACACCCATCTAGTTATTTACTAATAATTCATTATTCAAATGATAATCCAATCCAATTATTATTAAAATCATTGTAGGAGATATGTGTGAGGTGAGAGATTGTAAAGAAGTTGTTCATATTAAGATAAAGTTCAAGTGCACAAAACTTATTGAAAATATTGTTCTTAGTTGGATGAATTTTAAAACTTGTACTAATCTTGAACAATTTTGACTATACCATCTGGGAATATAATTCTGTTGAGAATAGAAGTTTGTAATTTAGGTTATTAGGAATAAATAATCTTGTACTTAGAATTTAAGTTTCTGTTTGGACTTAATTATTTGTCTTGGGCTTTATTTCTTGTAAGGCCCAGTTCGTATAGGATAAATAGGGGGTTTGATGTAATACATTGTGAGTGAATAATCTGAGTAATAATACAGAATTATTCAGGAATTCCTGGGCCCACGTTTTACATGGTACCAGAGCACCAGGTCCGACGGGGACGCCTGGCCCAATTAGTTTAGGGTTCTCCACGAAAGCTTGATCGGAGAATCAAGATTTTCTTCCACTTTCACACGAGAAACCCATCCACGACGCAGCGTTTCGCAACAACAATGGCGGACAAGAAGACGTCCTCCGATGATATCTCCGCAGCAAGCCTCTCCTTCAATCACCCCTTGTACCTGCATCCATCGGATACTCAGGGAGCCACAATCATTCAACAAATTCTCACCGGGACTGAGAATTATACAGTCTGGAGTAGAGGAATGACGATCGCGTTGAGAGGAAAGCAAAAACTGGGTTTCATCGATGGAACGTGTACGAAAGAATCGCAAGAACCACACCTCCATGATCAATGGGAAAGGTGTAACGCAGTAGTTCTTTCGTGGATTTTAAATTCCATTTCGAAGGAATTGGCGAGCGGTATGGTGTACTTTCAAGGAGCGCAAGAGGCGTGGATCGATCTTAAAGAGAGGTTCGATAAAGTCACCGGCTCGAGAATTTTCGGTATTCATCGGGAAATTCATTCCCTTCGTCAAGGCGCATTGTCTGTTTCGGGGTATTATACTCGCCTCAAGCAACTCTGGGAAGAGCAGGCAGTGTTGATTTCTGTACCGACCTGCAAGTGCGAGACCTCGAAGGCATACACCCAGATGATCCAGCAACAAAGATTGTTGCAATTTCTCATGGGACTGAATGAGTCGTTCAGTCCGGCACGCGGTCAGATCCTCCTAATGACTCCTCTCCCCTCCGTTAACCAAGCGTACGCGCTGATTCTTGAAGATGAATCACAAAGACACATTGCTAATTCTACTGCGATGCAACCGATTGAAGGAGTGGCAATGTTAGGAAAGGGGAGAGGTCGCGGCCGAGGGCGTGGCAGACGATCTTCACCGGTGGAGTGCTCCCACTGTCGCAAGAAGGGACACACCAAGGACAATTGTTTCCAATTGGTGGGGTACCCTGCGGAATTCAAAGGATACAAGAGCAAAGGCAACCAAGAAGTGAGTGTAAATCAAACCGGGGTCGAGGTAGGACAACAACCTGAGACGATAACACACTCTGCGAACACGGTATCTCCGAGCTTCACATTGGAGCAGTACGAGAAACTACTTGAGCTACTCAGGAAGGAGTCTGAATCTGGGACCGTTCACGCACTCACTGGTACAGGTTTGACAACTTCTGTTTTATATAAGAATGCTCATACTCATTGGGTTATTGATTCTGGTGCGACTACTCATATGGTAGGAGATTTATCACTGTTGAACAGCTATAAGGAATATATAGGACCCATAAAATCTATTAAGATACCTAATGGACAGCGTGTTCCTGTAACTCATGTAGGACAAGTTAAATTTTCGAATGGTATTGAGTTATTAGAAGTTTTGTATGCTCCTGAGCTGAAATTTAATCTCATATCTGTCTCTAAGCTAACTAGGGAAGCATGTTGCATGGCTGCATTCTTTCCTGATTATTGCATTATACAGGCCCTTCAGGGTGGCAGAATGATGGGGACTGGTAAAGTTGTGGAAGGATTGTACTTGTTGAAACTGAATGAGGATCATGAGCATGTGAATTTTGTTGATAAACATAAGAAAGTTCATTTCGATTCAGATGATATTTGGTTGTTGCATCATAGGCTTGGGCATGCCCCTATCTCTGTCATGAGACATTTACATGTTGTAAAGGACAAAGATATTGATATGAATAAAATTTGTGAGATTTGCATACAAGCTAAACAGACTAGAATTCCCTTTTCCCCCAGTTTTATTAAGACAAATAGTTGTTTTGAATTGATTCATATGAATGTGTGGGGACCTTATAGAACACCTACACATTCAGGGCACCGGTATTTCCTTACTGTAGTTGATGATTTCTTGAGAGCAACGTGGATTTTTTTGATGAAACATAAGACAGAAACTGTCATGCATATACAGAACTTTGTTGCGCATGTTTCTACCCAATTTTCTGTTTCTGTTAAGAGAATCCGAAGTGACAATGGCACTGAATTTATTAATAATGATTTGAAATGCTTTCTTAGAGAAAAAGGGATTGTGCATGAAACTTCTTGTCCATATACTCCTGAACAGAATGGAATAGTAGAAAGGAAACATAGGACCCTAATACAGGTTGCTAGAGGGCTGATAATACAATCTGGGGTGCCAATTAATTATTGGGGAGAATGTGTTAAAATGGCTTGTTTTCTTATCAACAGATTGCCTTCTAAAATCCTGAATTTTCAAACTCCTTATGAAATTGTGTATGGAAAGGTTGCTGATTATACCAATTTGAAAACTTTTGGTTGTTTAGCCTATGCTACTAATTTAGTTAATGTGGATAAATTTAAGCCCAGATCTTTACCTTGTGTCTTCTTGGGGTATCCCAACAATCAAAAAGGTTTTGTGTTACTTAATTTACACAATAGAGCTATTTTTGTAAGTAGACATGTTAGTTTCATAGAAAACAGGTTTCCTTTCAAAGATGCCATGAGTATGAATCAAGGGGGAGTCAGTAAGGATTTTAGGGAAATGTTCATGTTTGATTCTGAGGATACACAAATAACGTTAGAAATTAACAAAGGGAATGAATCTAAAACTGAATATAATCAACAAAGAGATAATGATGTATGCGTAGAGGACAATACAAGTACTTCTGTTGAGTCACAAAGCCAGAATCGTGCTGTACAGCTTTCTACTAGACCTACCAGGGACAGACGACCACCAATCTGGGCACAAGATTATGTCTGTGGTTTGGTGAGCACTGGACCGAATAACAATCAGACAGGAAAAGGTAAATGTAGATACCCTATAGAGAAATATATGTCTTATGAAAATGTTTCTTCCTCTTACTTGTGCTTCTTATGCTCTATTGACTCTATCAGTGAACCACAATCATATAAAGAGGCAGTGAAGGATGTTAATTGGGTCAAAGCAATGAAAGAGGAAATAGAGGCCTTAGAACATAATAAGACTTGGGAACTAGTAAAATTGCCAAGAGGAAAACAAGCAATAGGATGTAAATGGGTGTACAAAGTGAAATATAAGCCAAATGGAACAATAGACAAATATAAGGCTAGACTTGTAGCAAAGGGGTGTACCCAAAGGGAAGGAATAGATTTTCATGAGACATTTTCTCCTGTGGTAAAAATGATTTCAGTCCGAATAGTAATGAAATTGGCAGCTGTAAATAATTGGAACCTTTATCAGATGGATGTGCACAATGCTTTTCTACAGGGTGATCTAGATGAAGAGGTTTACATGACTATACCCCAAGGTTTTGATAGTAAGGGGGAGAATATGGTATGTAAACTCAAGAAATCATTGTATGGATTAAAACAGGCCTCTAGACAGTGGAATCAGAAACTGTCTATGGCCTTGGTAAGTGGGGGATTTAATCAGAGTAAACATGATTATTCTTTGTATTATAAGAATTATCATGATGGGTCTGTGTTTGTACTAGTATATGTGGATGACCTTCTTATTACAGGTAGTACAGAAAAG